CCACTGGCCCCTTGTACCTTGGGGGATTCACCCAGTCCCTTTCCCCTCCCAGATCTCAAACCTTACCACAGGGCGAGAGAAGTGGTCCTCGGACAGTCCAAGATCCATCACACGCTCCGTGCAGCAGAACTCAGGCTCCCCAGCAGACAGCTCAGGCAGAGCATCTGTGGGGAAGGCTGAGAGGAGAACAAGGTCAGCCTGCTGCCTCTCATTCCCCAGTGAGGTGCTTAGAAGCCTGGGGTGGAAAGGGGGTTCAGGGAGCCCACAGGAAGAAGGCACTGGGAGAGCTGGACACTGCTTGGTCTGAGGTCTGCCTCGTTGGCATCTGCAGAGGGACCCATATCCTCATGAAAGAGTCATTATAAAAGATGAGGCAGAATGTCACTCAGTTGTGCTAAGAGGCCAAAAAGACAGCATGATAGAAACATCATCATCTCTAAGGCATTGTGAATAAATATCTGAAGAAAAACCACTGGAGGGCTCACAACAAAATTCATGAACTTAAGTGGACTCCGGCCACTTTGCCCTGGCCCAAGTGCTCCCTACCCACCTAGTCCACGGTGTCTGCAGCTTACACCATCCTGACCCCCAGAGGAGCTGAGCTTTCACACAGGATACTCTATCCACTAAACCAGGAGTCCTCAAACTACGGCCTGTGGACCACATGCAGCCCACCGAGGACATTTATCCAGCCCACTGGGTGTTTTTGCCGCCACTGCCTGTCCTACTTAGCAGCTGACTTGTCCTGGGGCCCATAGTCCAGCCCTCCAATGGTCTGAGGGTCAGTGAACTGGCCCCCTGTTTAAAAAGTTTGAGGACCCCTGCACTAAACGATACCCCGACCCCAGATCTTGGCTCTGAGTTCACTGAGCCAGTGTGCATGGGAGCACCTGCTGAGTGTTAGGCCTTGGGATACAACTATGACAGGTCAGGCACAAGTATCTGCCCTCAGGAGTGCTCATTCTCCTAGGGAGACAGCAGCAAACCACAGAGCAAATGGAAAGTGAATTGTGCTGCTGGGAAGAAGGGAAAAGCCAGTAAGTGCCAGCTCTGTGGGAAATTCAGCACCCCACCTGCAAGGCAGCAAGAAGGGGGGTTGGCATGAGGGATCAGATCCCTGCACAGCACTCTCAACCAGCACCTACCTTTAGGAGCAATGTCCAGGGCCTCCTCACCAGGCTCCTGCTCATGCTGCCTCGGCCCAGGCTGTTTGTTGAAGGGGTTGAGGTGGGCCTGCCGGAACCGGGCCAACTTCTCATCATATTCCATAGCATCCCACCTGGGGGCCAGGATCAACACCTAGATTCCAGGCTCACCACAGACCATCCTGTTTCCCCACCCCTCTGGGGTTTCAGGGACAAGGCCAACCTCTTTCACATTTCTGAAGGGTGTGGGTGGGACATTCCCACGCCACAGCCTCAGTCCTCAGCCCCTTCTAAAATAACTCAACTACCTACACCAAGCCCCTACTAGTGGCATCCCTTCCAAAGAACCCACCATGTGCTGGCACAAGAAGAGTTGAGCAGACACAAGACCTGCCCAAGGGTGCCCAGTGAGACAGTCTGGATCACAAGCTCCCTACCTTCCTGCACAGGGCCGTCAGGCTCCACATGTTAAAGGCTACAGGGCGCCTCCTTGCTGGCATCAGCAGCCAGATGCCTCACTCAGCCCCAGCCCATCAATGTCACTGTTGTCGTTCTCTCTCATGAGACACACCTCCCAGAAATGGGTTCCGGCTTCCTGGACCTTGACTCAGTTGTTCCTTTTCCATCAGAAGGCTATGTTGGACACTCAAGCCAGTGCCAGGGCCCATTCCTGCTCTACTACCTGTAAAGTGACCTTACCCAGGCCCCAGGAATCTTGGGAGGATTAACTTGCCACATGGAGAAGCCTCTATAGGTACGTATAGGCTGTGCGGGCTCCTGTGGGCCTAGGTTCCAATCCCACTGATAAAAGATATACCTTGAGTCAGTCCTATGGCCTGTGCCTTAGGATCCCAGGTAACAGGCAGGGAGTGCCCAGTCCACTACCTGGCAAAAGCTAAGAATCAAGGACTGCTCCTTCCCCTCCCTGAGTATTAGCAAACTGTGGAACTCACAAGTAAAAGGCTGACAAATAGGCAGCAGCTTTGGTTGGGGTGGGATAACAGGCAGTTTTTATCTGCTCCCCCACTTAACTAGCTGGGCCACATTCCTTATCTATAAATGGGTCATTGTGAGGATGAAATGAGTCATAGATGTTGAACACAAAATAAGCTCTCTATAAGGTTGTTAATGTTACAAGAAGGAGGAGAGATTTTTTTTTTTTTTTTTGAGACGGAGCCTCAAGCTATCCCCTCTGGGTAGAGTGCCATGGCATCACACTCACAGCAACCTCCAACTCCTGGGCTCAAGCGAGTCTCCTGCCTCCGCCTCCCAAGTAGCT